TATCGCGATACGATCAGTAGGATCGGAGCTTTGATGAAAAATGTTCCAAATATGGTTTCATAAGTGATGCTTCCGTTGCGTGCGCTGTGTTAGCTTTTTTTTATGCACTCAAAACCTGTATTTACAGATGTTGGTGCCCTTAAGGGGCACACCAACGGACGGACCTCACACCTAGCCTCTCGCAAGTCTTACGGGTGTGAAACGGAGAAGCCATTAAGCAGTCCGCGCGGCTTACGAGTGCTTACGGCATACTATCCGCTAAAAACCCTGTGAATACCCTCTACGCTGTTAAATGCGGAATCGCGAGATCCCCGTTGAGGGACTTCACCGCGTCTTCGCACCCAACAGCCTCCCAGCCTATCTGGCTCCTCGGCACAGACGTGTGTAGGACTGCCCGCGCTAGGAGATAAGTGCGCGGCCTGTTACCCACCCATTGCACTGCTCTCTGTCCGCTGCGGAAGAACTGCCTAGGCGTTCCCCTCGAAGGCACTTCCGCGGCCCTCTCACGTAGGACAGAACTACAAGAGAGGGCTGCAGTCACGAAATCTGTCAGTGACCGGCATAGCTAATGCCATGTACATAAATAATAATAAATACATAGTTAACATTACACTCCAGAGTATCTGGTAATACATTAGGTAATATCAAACATGATATTCATATTTCATCATTATACATGACATGAAAAGTTCTTGAGACCCCGCTTCTTTCAGCTTCTTTTTTTTAATGTTATATGGAATGAAGTATGGGTGAAGTAAGTTCATACCGACCTTACAATATTTCTTCCGCAGTGAGCTTATAATAATAACATGAAGGTGAGCATGTCGGAAGTCAATCTTAATTAAAATTGATTGTTATTTTCTAATTAAACTGTGTTTCACTTAAAGTCATATCGTCAAGAAAACATTTTTAAAAATAAAGGTGGTAAAGACTCTAAAGACACTAAGGTGATAAATCCTAGCGAAGCGTGTCTGAAATGCGTGTTGTCCATTTCTCCTGGATTTGATAAAGTAGAAATATATTTATCAATTTTTCCCTACCTAACAATATACAGAAATATATAAAAATACTAGCTGTCTCAGCAAACTTCGTACCGCCATAAAAATAGGGGTTGGTGGTAGAAGGGTGAAAATTTAGGGTTGTATGTATTTTTGTATGATGTAGGTATCATAAAAAAATAAAACAAAAAAAATTAAGACAGACACTACTAGACAGACAGACAGACCTACTGAATATGCATATAAAAATCCCCGAAAACCGTTCGAGCCGTTTCGGAGTAGTTCAATTACGCAGACCGTGACACGAGAATTTATATAGTACGAGTCCTCCTTGTAAGCCTAAACATGGTCTGAACCCAATTCCCTAGCATAGGAACCTTACTCACCAACAGGAACACAACACCTGAATATTTTACTGTGGTCGTCTAAAGTTACTTTTTTTTTATTTATAATAACTTATTGATAAAATAGTGATGTAGACAAACTTGATACCAAAAATACACACGCGCTCCCTTTGGGGACGATTTTTTATCGAAAGTAAACATATTATTATATGATTGTGGTCGTGCGAATTGAGAACGCACACTGAGTAGGGTTTTCTCACTTTGGACACGAATTAGTATCGTACGTACGTATGATCGTGGTCATATGAATTGAGTGCGAGTAAAGGTCAGTTCCGTGTTGCTACACTGCAGATACTTTTTCTCACTCTACAAGAGACTAAGTTGTATTGTTATCTTTTTCTTGAAAATAATGGCAAATAAAATTCAAAACAAAAGCAAAATATGTTATAGTATTCAATTCAAACAAATTGTATAAGCCTGCTCTGAAGATCATGTACGTGATAACTAGAATCATTCTGACCCTCACCTGAACAAAAAATTTATTATTACGCACAAACTTGTCTTAAATCCCCAACAAGTTCGGATTGTATTCGGAGGTCACAACTTTACAACGTACACGAACGAGTAACTCGCACCAAGTATGTGCACTCCTTTTAGTACTTAAAAGGGTCATCATGCATATACGAATAAATTTCGTACCAAAACGCGTTCAAAGTATGCGCGGCCGATTTTCGGTGGTCGCAACTTTAACTCTAAGTATACGTAAGAGTAACTAGCACCCAGTATGTGCACTCTTATATTACTTGGAAGATTGGGATCGTTCTTGCATGTTCATACGTTCGCACGTGTGCGCACGTAGTAGATTTTTTACAAAAATGCGTCCAGAGTGAGCGCGACCTGAACACAAAATTGGTACAAAATCCTAAAAAGGATTTCCTACATTTTTAAAATTAAATACAATATAATATTTCATAAGTAATATAAATTAGTAATATTTTTATTTATTAAGCATTTAACTGATGTTTAAATCTACAGAAAAGTTTACTAGAAAGTTTATTTTTCTAGTAAACGTTTCTTTAGATTAATAGAAAGAGAAGAAAGTTTAATAGAAAGTATATTTTCCAGTAAACTTTTCTTTAGATTTAAACACCTAGCAGTTAAATGTTCAAAAAATAAAAATATAACTATTATTGCTATTTCTTCTTTCAAATATTTAATACTTGTAAAGGTATTCATTTGACATTGTGGGTTACCTGCAATGCGAACAGATCGCGCTGCCTTGCAGCCTAAGGCTAGAGAAAAATTTGACGCGACCGCCAGGGTCGTGGTAGCATAATGGTCAGTGCATTCGCCCGGATAGTGAAAGGTGCGGGTTCGAGTCCCGTCTGCTGCCTGGTCCGCTTGAATTTTTTTGTAGTAAACTTTTCTTTAGATAGTAATATTTTACTAGGTAGAAAATAACCTAAAACAGTGAAATTCTTCGAGTGACTCCGATTTATCATCAATTCTGTTTATTACCTTTTAAAAGACACCAACGCGTTATGTTTGTGACATATCGACATTAAAATTAAGGGCGTTCTATATGCCACAGGCAATCAGACCATTTTTTCCAAATATAATTTATTAAAATTGATCTTCATAGGCATAAATAGTATACTAGCGGCCGCCCGCGACTTCGTACGCGTGGAGTTAGTAGAAATAAAGGTTCACTGCTCGTTCCCCGTAGGTGATAGCGTTATAATATGTAGCCTATATGTTGACCCGACTTCTTAATAATATTCGTGCCAAATTCGAAGTAAATCTATGCAGTACTTTTTGAGTTTATCCCGGACATACATACAGACAAACAGAAAAAAAATTAAAAACTATATTTATGGCTTCGTTATTGTTTGTAGATCACACACCAAGTATTCCTTAAAAAAAATATTCAATGTACAGTTTTGTCTTTCCTTCTATTTTATTATATGTATAGATATAGCCAATTTTTCAGTTTAACAAAATTGAGACCACTGTACAAAATTATTAAAATGAGGTGAGAGGGGTGGCAAAACATTATTTTACATCTTTTGTTTTTGTTAATATTGACATTATTAAATAAACTCTTTACCTATTTTAAATTGTTATTACCGTAGCGAAATCACAACAGGATATATACTCCATTTCATCGTAAATTGGCCAATTGGTAGCTATGTCGACTATGTTAGGCACGTGTCGTGTGCGGCATACCAAATGCGAAGTGGTGCCCTGAATCCAGTGCTCGAATAAGTATTTGTTATATTATATACTTGCAATACCAGTGAAGTAAAAACAAAAACATTTTGTATTTGTTTTTGTAAACTTAAAGAAATACGTTACATATTTTGGTAAAGACAGTTGGCTAATTATTTGACCGAGCATGAAATATTAATTAAATTATCTTAATTAACTGCCCAAAAATGTTCTATTATATGAACAAAGTGTTGGGAAGTTAGAGGAAATAATTATTTAACTTGAAACGGATGTATGTATTGATAATAATTCTAATTTATTGTTGTAACCGCACTTAATCGTAGAGTTATTTTAGTAACAAAATAATTATTTTTGTATATTTTTTTATCATATTGCAAGCAGTTTTTTTTTTGTTTTAAAGTTACAACATTTTACGACGCAGCCAATATATTTATTATATACTAAACGAGCAATATACTTGTAAAAGTAAAAGTTCCTATCGCCTCAATGGCAGTTAGATATTGACTTGAAGCCTAAATTTCAGCAATCGTCACACGTTCGCTCAACTAAGAAACGTAGTACTTACTTTGTAACTTTTGGAAACATTTTACAATGAGAAGAGATTAAGAGGCTAGGGTTCGAGGCCATTCAGGCGAAAGTCACTCAGCCTTGCACCGGATGAAGATCAGGTGTTAATTTTATGGTGTTATCTATCTATATAAATAAAAACGAATCGCCCAAATGTATATGTATTTGCGCTTACATCCGAAAGACTGCATCAAATTGGATAATTCTATTTTTGTGTCCGCTGTTATCGGGACAGGGTTATATTATATAAAAGAAAATAAAAAAAAAATCGAACAGAATAAATATGGCAGTACGAAGTTTGTCGGATCAGCTAGTAAAAGATAAAATATCCAAATGTATGAGCTTCATATTATTAAATGATTTTTAACAACAAATACGTAATCAATCGATCAATCCTTCGATGGTATTGTCATAAAAAAGAAATATTTGTCAATGCAAACAATATAACAAAAGGTCAGTGGTCCTGCCTACTTCTATGACAGATTTATTATCACTCGAAGATTGAATAAATACAGAAAAAGTAAATATTGAAATCTCTGACGATTAGTTACAAAATTTATCTCAACTTTCTTATGAAATTTATTTCTCAAATCTAGCAAGCACTTCTTCTGATTAACTAAAATAATCAAGGAGTTTTTTAAAAAGCATTCTATTTATAATTCGTAATGAGAACGTTGTAAGAGTTAACTTTTGATTACATGTTTAAAAAGTAATGTGACATAGCTGCAATATTGTGTGCGAAAATGTTACCATAGTTACCTTCATTTCGGGTACGAATCTTTGGGGCTGTTACATTTGCCTCCATCACTAGCAAGCTCTGTGTAGGGGAGACGGGCGTCATACTCGCTGTAACCGAGTGTAACAAACTTAGAGAAGGCAGCTGTGTCGGTTCGCCAGATCAAGTGCGACCGCCGTGCGCAGTGGACCTGCTTTAGCGACACCGGCTTTTCGAGCGACGGCACCATGAAATTCTTCGCAATGTGAGTCGCATACAACTTATTATTGAATCCCTATCAAGCTCCAAAGCTGCGCGAACGCATTGCGATCTATTTGTAAGCGGTGGTTTTTTAAAAATAGGTGGTAGTTATAATTAATTGTCGGAATTAATAACCTCGCAAGGCGATTTAGTTTACAGGACTTTCAATTCCAAATTGCTACATTCTAATACTTAATTATGCTTCTTGGGCGGGGACAGTGTTACGAAATGAATAGTTGTGTCGATGCAGGTGGTTAGGAGTACATTATTTTAACTTATAACGCGGGTAGTGCAGTAATATTTTTTATATTTATTTTCTATCGAATATTTAATGTATATCTTTCTTCGTTAAATGTTTAAAGGTTAAGGTTGATATTTCAGAAACCAGCTGTTAAAAAATAACTAACGTTTGTATAAAAAGTATAAGCGGTGATATTGTATGAAGGGTATTCTTCTAGATAGTGAATTGTCAAGCGCTTATTAGAAATTGCAATGAACCTTAAGTCGTTTGTCAAAGTAATTCAGTTAATATAAAATTTTGTCTTTGAATTTTTATTTCATATCTACCTTCATTTTTGTATTTTTTACAACCACCTATCATGCCGTTGGCTTTGGATGACTATTAGAATAATACACAATGTATTTTATAATTAAAATTCTGCTGAAAACTATTTTAATAATACTTGATTTTGCTACAAGGAGCAGACATAATATATTCAGTAAAATACCAATGTTGTTAAAGAAATGGTATTTATTAATTAAATGTTAAACATCTGTGAAGTTCTGAGATCCTTCTGAAGATTTTATACCGCAACTTCTATTTCATTTATCACAAATCGTCCTCACAGGCCAACTTAATTAAGCTCTGATGTTTTTTTATTATAATCATCACATAGGTACCTCCGTATTTTATGACTGTTGTTCTTTTCCTATTGTAGGTTTTTAACAATACTTGACGATAAAAAGTACATATTATGATAATAAAATAAGATCGTTTAATTACTAGGTTAGGTATATTTAAACTACCCACACATTCGCAAAATTCTACTCTCAATTTTTTTATTTTACAAATGGCAATAAATTCATATTTCAATTGTGATAAACCTCTTTATAAATTAACATTACAAAAGGTTCTCTATACTCTCCACTTAATCACAAGGCGTTTTCATTGATCAAGGTGGCATGCCGGTTGGCTACGCAAAAATGTTATGATGTCCATTAATTTCGCGTTACATAATTGCGGACTTATAAACTTCATTTAGAGTATAGAGGCTGAGGCTTGACTCATTGGTGTAGCAAACCAATTCATTTTCAAATTAATTGAGCATGTTTAGAACCGGTCGACGAGTAGGTCTCACGTTGAAAATCTGGCATCAATATAAGGTTAAGCAACATGCATCATGTAGGAATAATGGAGGGACCTAAGAGCTGAATTCCTACTGAATCAACCTCAATCAGTTGTGTAAACTTTAGCTATTATAGTGTACGGCCCGACGCCCTTTAGACCTGCCTATTGCAAAAGCTCATTGGGTTTCACAAAATGTTTACAGTTACTAAATACTGACATACGTATTAATCAATCAACTGTCTTTTTCAATTAGACGCACTTTTGATTAACAAACCAAGCGTTGAAACTTAATTTGGGGGAACTCATCAACTATAATTATTTTGAAGGTAAAACCACGCAACTTCAATAACGCCTAAACCGTTTATTTCAAAAGATTAAGTGCCTAATTATTAGTATGTTACGTACACACGTTTATATTATTTATTTTTGTAGTTATTCTACTTACAATGTGTTTTTTTTAAATATGTATATTTAAAGAACAGTTGAAATGTTGTAGCAGTTTAGTAAACAACCGTTCTATAAAATTTCTAAGAATCTAATCTGATTATGAATTTAAATCAAGCAGTGTAAAGCTCAATGTTCACCGGAGAAATTTTACACTTTTGTTATTAATTTGCCGATATTTCTAGCTGTTGCCGACTATACCTTCAAGACCTACCCCAACATTGAGATTAACATGACCGGGAATCGATTTCTTGTTTTATAAACCAGAATTCTGAATTAAAATACACACTATAAAGCCTTTGAAATGGCGCCAACACTTTTTGAAGAGTTATTATTGCTGACAACAATTTAAAGCAGATCACAGTATTTATGGAAAAATCTATTTAGAATTTCTGTTGATAGCTAGGTACTAGTTTATTAGCCTTTATTCTGTAATTATGCATTCATTTTTATGTAATAAGGATGGTAAACAAGCAAAAGATAAAAGGTAATCATAGATTGTTTATATACGCTTTGCCATACTGGAGTACTGCCGTCCTAGTGAAGAATGGAGTAAGAGCTCCAAAATGAATTTGAGTTAATTGCTTTTAAAGTTAAAACATTAAAATCCATGGTTTTTTCAAAATTTCTGACGGAGTATCACTCGCGCGTTGATTACTTTTGCAAATATTTATTTTATTTTATTTACATTTAATAAAATTGATCTCAATCATATAACAAGATATATTATATTGGTTTAATAATGATGCTTAAATAACTTCAGTAAAAATCAAGAACAACATAATAAATTCATAAATACAAAAAAACATTCAAGACGTCCAATATTTCTTAAGTAACTATAACTATGTTAGATACTATATTCCCATATTTCATGTTCATCTATATAAAATAAATTTTAAAACGGTAATCAAGCACAAATTTATAATGAATGCAGTCTACTGGTTGCCCTCAATAATTTAGTATAGAATTAAGCCAAAACATTCAAGTCATTTAGCTAACAAGGATTTAGTAGGGCGTTTCTTTTGTTTCATTTATTCTTGAATATCATTAATCATTAGTCATCTTTAAGTCTCATGTTTATTCTTATTGTAAATAAACATTCTACATCTTCAGATGTATCTTATATTTTAGACATTTCCGTGTTTCAACGTTAATGTTAATTATTCAGATGTGTTTTCGAAAACGAAGTGTTTTCAATTGTGAGCAATCTAACAAGTTTTGACGATATAGTTGTTATTAAACTTCCTGACGCTGTCTTTTTTAGAAGCCTCTTCTATCACATTTAGCCAACCCTCATCAGTGAATTGATGGAAGGTGAGATAAGGATGTACAAAGCTTCTTATTAGGGTTTGCCTGTTCGTGATTTGGTTACGTCCAGCACTTTAACTTTACGCCAGAGATTTTTACTGAAGTGGAAGTTCAACCCGAGTCTATCGACCGGTTTCAAATGTGCACCAGGTGTCCTTGGGGCATTGAAAAATATTTTAAAATCAGACCATTTATCAATGAAATTATTGACAACCAATGATCCTCATTTGAGTATATTCTGGTGTAGCGATCTTTTAGCAAGAAATGAAAATTGTGTAGTTATGAATTGCCATCATATAGATATAAGTATATCTAAAGAATATATTACTAGAAAAAAATCCACTCTGTCCACATTTTATTCGGGATTCAAACCCACATCTTCCGCTATCCGGGCGGACACGCTAAACAGTTGTGCTACTGTGACCTTAATGGTCATTTCGAAATACCTAAAGTATTTCTAAGGCTGCAAGGCCCCCGAATCTCAGGCAAGGCAGTACGAATCCTGTCTGAAACCTGGACCGAGTAGAAGTATTTCTAATAATATTTTCTTTCAATTTCAAAATCTAGCAGTCAAATGCTTAAAAAATATAGGTATATACTTTACTTGTGAACTGCAGTCTGAGTACACTACAGTTGTTTTTTTTTTATTAAAAAGCTTTCGTAAGATATTATTATTAAACTGACACATCTTGAGTAGCGGAGACATACGTCTCCAGTGCGTGTTTTGCCCTACACAATCAATAAAAACATTTCAACATTCAACAAAAACGTTTACACAAAACTTTGTTTCACTACACATATTTTATTTATTTATTTTTTCACATTGCATCAACAAAGTTTTTGCTTTCCGAGCCCGATGGAAAACTCGTACACACCCCGCGCGGTTCGAGGGGCAGGGTATTGTTTCATTGGCCATATTTTTTGACAACTCACTAGCAGAACACAGGGCTTCAATACACAGGGCTTCATTCCAAACCTACGCTCCGAGTGTAACTTACCACTCAGAATTTTCAATTTTCAAATAAAATGTACGAGTATTTTGTCAAATTTGACATTTAATGAACCTAGATCGTAGGTTTGGAACGCAGCCCTATGTATTTTGTGTACGACAGCCACGTGAGCAATAGACGGCGTGTGTAGATAAATATGTTTCAGAAGCAAAGTTATGTGTATATGTTTTTGTTGAATGTTTTCAAAATACTTTTAACATTAATTAAATGTAGCTTCATATCACATACCTCGCGGGCTTAGCAGACCTACAAAGATAACATATAAATGTAATGTATTGCTACATTTTAATGACGACATATTTGTAAATACTTATTTAGTTTTTTCCGTTATCAATAATGGCAAGTAACCCATCTATTGCAATCTCCGAAAGTAATGAAATGAAATAGTACTTTATTTTAAGTACCTTCTCGAAAAGTTTTAGATATCTGCTAAATTAATCGTTAGACACACAGCACATGCAAACTTATACTATACTTAATCTTTCCGATACCTGTAATAAATATATGAGGTTAGTAGGTAACAAGTTTGAATGACTGGTATCTGGTATGCAAAAAATTACAAGACTATAGCCCACAATCGAGTGAAGTAAGTGTTGTTTTTTGAACGTAAAAGCTTTGAACTTTAGTAAAAGACTAGCGGTCGCCCGCGACTTTGCCCGCGTTATATTTGGATTTTTAAGAATTTCACAGAAACCTAACATTTTTTCGGGATAAAAAGTACCCTATGTATCAATATAGACAAACTATAAGCATAGCAAATTCATCCAACTCCGTTAATTACTTATTGCGTGATTGAGTAACAAACAGACATTCACAATTATAAAATTAGTAAGAAGTAGGATAGGATGAGTTTATTTAGGATTAGGGATTTTTTGTCTTGAAAGTCTTTACCTC